TAACGTGCTGACCAGGTTGCCCACGGCGTCATGGCACATGGAGTCGCAGGTCCAGACACCTCCGTTAGAGAGGTAGGCGGCCCAGCCGGCGCAGTTGGTGCGAAGCGTCTGCACCGCAGCAGAGACCTTGGAATAATTGTCAGCGTCGCAGGTGGTGGCGCCAGCGTGTCCTTGGAGAGCAAAGGCGGAGGTGAGAAAGAGGATGGAAGATCGGGTGGAGACCATTTTGTTGTTGTGGGAAAGGTGAAGTGGTTTCGTAAGTTGTTGTCGTTCGAGCTGCTTTTGTCAAGGCAAATTCAAATATGTGATTGACGGAACGTTCTCCTCTACATGTAATATGCTCTGGACAGCAGTGAGGAAGTACATGTACTGTAGCTAAAGATTCTCGGCAGAATTTGGAGCTCGTACAGGTGCTATAATAGTATGATACCCATGGTTATCACGTGTAGCAAATCCCGGAGCTGACAGATTTTTTGCTGATTGATTATCAACAACTGGAGTACTTTTTGTGGGAGGTTGCAGAAAGCCAATGGACGCCATGAAATAGTTCGTCTACATGTATACTTCGTCACCTTCAGCTCTTATCATGTAAAACCAGATTCTTTAAGATACCGGGACTATTGAATTCAGTAGATAGCTTGTTGATGCCAGGATCCTTCACTACCCTGGGCGATTAAATCAAATTGTGACTAGGTTAAGAGGGGCTTTTGTTTTCCACTTTTGTTCTCGTTGACATGCGAACCGAGGAGATTGTGCTCGTCATGGATCGAATGGGTACTCTTTGTGGGGCTGTCTGCGCCGCCAATGCAGGTGAGATCCGCTCTCAGCTGTAAGGAGCAGCCCGTCGCACCCTTTTAACTTATAATATACTGTAGACGTTGTAGAATAAATAGTTTTGCTTTAGGAATTCTTAGCTCTGACCACGAGCGTTTTAGCTCCCACCGCACAGCACTACACCCGTTACTCGACTTGTTCATATGGGCGTGCCCTATCCGTTTCCCGTGACGTTGATGTCCTATATAGGTGGTATCGTTGGAACGTGGTCGGGTCAAGCCTCAGCCTGCAGGAAGTATTACTTACGGCTCATCTGTCAAATGTTGGCAGTGTAAGGTTTCTTGATCTGATTTTCCGCAACTCGCTGCTCGTATCGCAAGAAAGAGCATCTATACGATCATTTTTTTTCAACTTTCAATTGAAAGGGTGCGACGGGCTGCTCCCTTACAGCTGAGAGCGGATCTCACCTGCATTGGCGGCGCAGACAGCCCCACAAAGAGTACCCATTCGATCCATGACGAGCACAATCTCCTCGGTTCGCATGTCAACGAGAACAAAAGTGGAAAACAAAAGCCCCTCTTAACCTAGTCACAATATGATTTAATCGCCCAGGATAGTGAAGGATCCTGGCATCAACAAGCTATCTACTGAATTCAATAGTCCCGGTATCTTAAAGAATCTGGTTTTACATGATAAGAGCTGAAGATGACGAAGTATACATGTAGACGAACTATTTCATGGCGTCCATTGGCTTTCTGCAACCTCCCACAAAAAGTACTCCAGTTGTTGATAAAATCAGCAAAAAATCTGTCAGCTCCGGGATTTGCTACACGTGATAACCATGGGTATCATACTGTTATAGCACCTGTACGAGCTCCAAATTCTGCCGAGAATCTTTAGCTACAGTACATGTACTTCCTCACTGCTGTCCAGAGCATATTACATGTAGAGGAGAACGTTCCGTCAATCACATATTTGAATTTGCCTTGACAAAAGCAGCTCGAACGACAACAACTTACGAAACCACTTCACCTTTCCCACAACAACAAAATGGTCTCCACCCGATCTTCCATCCTCTTTCTCACCTCCGCCTTTGCTCTCCAAGGACACGCTGGCGCCACCACCTGCGACGCTGACAATTATTCCAAGGTCTCTGCTGCGGTGCAGACGCTTCGCACCAAGTGCGCCGGCTGGGCCGCCTACCTCTCTAACGGAGGTGTCTGGACCTGCGACTCCATGTGCCATGACGCCGTGGGCAACCTGGTCAGCACGTTACCGGACTGCACGTTCGGTGGTCCTCACGGTCAGAACTACAAGGAAGTGGTGGAGGAAATGTTGGAGACGTGCGGGGACCACCGAGTGTCCACGTCCGACTCCACGAATTCCTCTGCTCACACGTCTCAAGAGAATTTCGACACCGTCAACTGTGACGGTGACAATTATTCCAAGGTCTCCGCTGCCGTGCAAACGCTTCGCACCAACTGCGTCAGTTGGGCCGCCCACCTCTCCAACGGAGGTGTCTGGACCTGCGACTCCACGTGCCATGACGCCGTGGGCAACCTGGTGAGCACGTTACCAGACTGCATGTTTCGGAGGTCCTCACGGTCAGAACTATAAAGAAGTGGTGGAGGAAATGCTGGAGACGTGGCGGGGGTCAACTGGCG